AGAAACTACCCTGTGGTGGTTTAATTGGCTGGTGTCGCACTGATTGATGAGGGAGAGGGATCTTCTGAAATAAGAAGCAAGACCACGCATCAACAATCCTGGTCCTCCAAAGTAGGTTACGTGTTGCTATAGTAGCTCAATATATATTGTACTTGTCAAACAAACTGTTACAGAGTGCTTCACAGTTACAAAAAGACAATAAAAAACATTTGTTATAATTTAAATCAAAGACAAGCTGCATTTGGTAAAGAATAAAAATGAATCAGGGCAAGAAAGCAACAATAAAATGCTCTTGAGATAAAAAAAACCCCAAAAACGTTATGCTGGTAGTTATCCTTAAACCAGTTAAACCATTTGGTGACTGTGGCTATGACTGTGACCTGGCTCCACATTTGAATGCAGAAACATTATTAGCCACTCCAGAGGTTTGCTGAGCATTTACAAAATGATTGTGTCTAACAAGGCTTACGTTTCCTTTAATGGTGTACAATACAGTGTTCCTCTGCTGATTTTCAATAAATCTGCAAGCAACAATCACACATATGAAATTAAATTTCTAATTCTTTATCTATTCATATTAAATTCTGCTTATTGATGTTGACCATATAACACAGCAACATGCCCTTTTCTGCTTCTACACCTCCCCCCAGTAATCACACTTTATTTCTGGCTGTAGACAATGTCTCAAGACTACAGCCCCATTTCTGTGACACACATTTTCTGTTTGGGTGCTTCAGACTGGCCAAAAAACTTTGAGCCAAGTGTTTTGTCAACATTTGTGTGTGTGTAATCTAATGTATGGTCTGTGTAAAGGGATGTTCATTATCATCAGAAAGACAGTGGGTGGCGGTTGGCAGTCGCCCGCTAACCTTGGCTTTCTTCTGAAGAGGAAACTGAGCAGCTCTCTGCAGGCAGAAAGAGATGACCGTAGGTTTCTGCCTCCTCTGTGGTCTGTTACTCAGTAAAACAGCAGCTGGTGATTTTAAGGGAACAGTATGTTAGAGTTAAACCTCTACAGCAGGAGTGCCATTTTACTTCTCCTTGGACAGCCAAAACCAAAATGTAACAGTGAGTGGGCCAAAAGCAAACACCTACTGTATTACATTATTAAAATTGCAAAAAGTGACAAAAGGATCCTAAGTTCCCTACCGGCATCCTCCTCAAAGTGTGTGCTCAGATAATGAAAAATAATTACTAATTAGGGATACTACATATTTAGAGAGCAATTTTACCCCCACAAAATAAAACAGTGATTTCTTCCAGATAACATTTTTAATTATTTTTCGTTAGAACCATCTGGCAGGCCCAACCTAACCTTTATGGTGGGCCAACTTTGGGCTGCTGTAGAGTATCCACTCTCACCATCACAGGTGGTAGAAAATATTTTACATATCACATATGAAAGCATTAACTTCATGCAGTTGCAAATGACCAATATTGTCTGTATGTTAATCCTTTTCAGACACTAAACTTTTGATTGATTAAAAACCCAAAAGACACACACTTCTGTCTACATTAGTGGAGCTGAGGTGGAGCAGGTGAACAGTTAAACCGGATGGGAATCAACATTACAGAAAACTTGTCATGGTTTTGTCAGATCTCCACCCTGGTTAAGAAAGCACAGAAACGACTTAAGTTAAGGAAACAAAATTCCTGTGCCGTGTTCTTTCTAACTTTTCCAGAGGATCAATAAAAACACATAAGCTTCCGCTGCTGTACAACCAGACATAAGGACAGCTTCTTCCCTCAGGCTGTGAGACTGCTAAATTCTTCTTTAAAAATTCATAATTTATTATTTATTATTATTTTTTAAATAGCATAAAGGGAACTGTGAAGGAATTTCCCTTCACTACTATTAGAGTGAAATGGTATAGTTTTCCACTTGCCACCGTGAAGTTGTCTACAAACTTAAAGGTGGTCAGAGGTCACAGCCTGTGCCTCTCTTCGTCCTCTATGACTGTTTGGCTGACTAGACTACGCAGAGCAGCCGATAAGGTTGAACACTGAGCACCCAACATATCGTAGATCCACTTTGTTATGGAAGACCAAGGTTAAGAACAATCTAACAGACAGACTGACTGTCTCCTTTATGCGCTGTGTGTGACTCTGTGTGGGTGTCATTCAACGTGACTTAGGGTAGTGTAGGTAGGCTTAGAGTTTGTTTTGAACCACTACCCAACTGGATCTTCACACATTTGTAGCTGCGTAAGTTATGACCATATTTGGGACACTAGTAGATCTTGTAGGTCTAGGCTGCGGTTACATATCCCCCAACAGGAGTTAATCTTCAGAATTGGGTTGGCACTTGCACTGTGTTACACGTGTATTGCTGTTCTCCTCGGCTGAGCCCCAATAAATTCTGGAGTGTAAGTCAACACAAATACAAATGATTCATCTTCTTCAGTTTTTCCATCACAAGAATCAAAATCTTGCATTGTAAATGACAATAAAATAACCTTAAATCCTAATATTATAGATGTATATAACTTATAGAATAACACTCCGACCTACAAAGTATAACTAAATGCGGCTCCTCAGCAAAATAATCCAGTTCCAGGTCTTTGTGTCACTCCAACGTTTGCAAGTTGCCATTTTCCACTGACTCACCACACTTCAAAGCTTTAACAACCATCTTGTGCACCCACTCACGGGTCTGTGGGTGAACTTATGGACCATCAGAGCCTCCGTGTAGGAGTCAGTCCTGTAATTTCAGAGAGTGACAAAAAAATTACACACTGATGCAAATACATCTGATTTTGTCCGATCATACAAAAGGTGAGTGGGATCTCAGTTAAAATCCAGCCTACTGTGTCACATAGTCACAATGCACCTGTGTGACTGCAGCACCAGTTTACTGTGCTTTTGTTTTCATGTCAAATAAATGAGATTCTGAATCTGAAACATCAAGCTCTCTTATACTATACACACACATGCAGTACACAGTATATCTATATGCACACACACAAGCATACATTTCATACTGCAATGTATCAACAAACTATTTCAGTGACATCTAGTGGACATTAAAGGACAGTTTCTTAGATACTCGAGCTTTTGCTTAAATGTCACATTTTCCAGCTCTCAGTGGTAGATGCAGTACTCAGATCCTTTGCTTAAGTAAAATAAACTATTACAAGTAAAGGTCTTGCATTGCATTTAAATGTTATTTCAGTAAAAGTATATAAGTATTAAAAGTAAAATTACTTTTTAAAAAATGCTTGTTTTGTCCAACCAATAATCAAATCTCAAAAGTATTAAAAAACAAATTCATATCCATCTGAAATGCATTAATCTCAGTGGTATGAGAAGAAAATATTCAAGGAGAGAACAAGAACCTCAAATTTACAGTACTTGAGTGAATGCACTTCTGGTTACTCTAGTTAAAATATTAAGGAGTTTTACTAATTGATCTCATTTACTCTCATTAGACCCTTTAGGACACCTTTTCATACAGTCAATACTGAGTGTTTGATGGTAGTGAATGAATGCAGGAATGGATCTGATAGAGGTGAGACACAAGCAGGACAGCAACACAGCTGCTGCACAGAAAAAAACAAAATCACCTGAAAACATTCAAAGACAGGAATTATTTTGAGACTTAGCAGAAACATTTCTAACCAAAATCAGTAAGTTTTATCCCTCTGGTAGCCGTTGAATTATTCCAGCCTGGAAAAGTGGTGGACAGACCGACTGCTCTATGCAAACTGCTAATATGGCAAAACAATGTTAATACATCAAATGTAAATAATGTTTAAGCCATTCGCTGACGGTCTTCGGGTGACGCTAATGTACTTTAGATACTCCTGACTTCAGCAGGACAACTGAAGGGGAAAATTATTTTATTTTAAAGTGCCTTTCAATCGATAAGCAAATGTTATTAAATATTCTTTGTCATTTTCCTTTTTCTAGCAATATTTTAGTCACTTTTGTACAATATTTCACAAACATTATTAGGATATTGTAATATTTTAAAACATTTTACAGGTTTTTTTCCTTTATTTACTAATAACATTTTTTTTATTTACTAATAATAAAAATTTCAAATACTTTCTTTAAAATATAAAAAGAAATAAAAAAAACATCAATAAAACATCCTTACATATATACATATATGGCCACAAAGGATGAACTGCTAAGGGAATGTCTCAGGCAACAGAAACCCGATAAGAGTGCAGAGGAAGAGGAGCAGACAACCTGGAGGGACAAGCCGTAAGAACAGGCCCTAGGTACAAGAGAGCCATAGAGGCCAAGATCTACAAAAGTAGATCTGACCCAAGGTGCAGACTATGCAAAGATGCCCCTGAGACAGTCCAGCACATAGTAGCAGGGTGTAAGATGCTAGCCCGGTCAGCGTACATGGAGAGACACAACCAAGTGGCTGGAATAGTGTACAGGAACATCTGTACCCAGTATGGAATAGAAGTACCCAAATCCCAATGGGCCGCACCACAGAAGATGGCTGAGAACAACAGGGCCAAGGTGCTGTGGGACTTCAGCTTCCAGACTGACAAACAGGTCCTGGCCAACCAACCGGACATAGTGGTGGTAGACAAGGAGCAGAAGAAAGCGGTGGTGATAGATGTGGCCATACCAGCAGACGCCAACATCAGAAAGAACGAACACGGAAAGGCTGAAAAGTACCAAGGGTTGAAAGAACAGCTGGAGCAGATGTGGAAGGTAAATGCGAGCGTGATCCCTCGGGGCAGACCCCCAAACTGGGGGAGTGGCTCCAACAGATCCCAGGAACAACATCAGAAGCCTCAGTCCAGAAGAGCGCAGTACTAGGAACAGCTAAGATACTGCGCAGAACCCTCAAACTCCCAGGCCTCTGGTAGAGGACCCGAGCTTGAGGATGACACAGATACCACCCCAAGAGGGTGAGAGGGAAGTTTTTATATATATATATATATATATATATATATATATATATATATAGATATACGCGTTTACTGCCTCGCTACAAATCAGCATACATGCACATGTATAATAAGTGCAACAAATTTCACCTTCAAATCAGACATTTTATTCTGTTGCTGCAACCTTCAAAAGTTACTCCATGATCAGATAAAGTAATTCATTTCACATTATTGTCCCAATCCGATGAAGAACGTGTCAGTACACTTAGGTCTTCTGTCATGTGGTGCAATACTATGACAACTGCTCCACAGGTCGCATCTGCACATCTCCAATCTGAAAGCAAAGATATGTAAAGGTTATCTCAGTATGGGTAAACTATTGATTTTCAACATTAAAAGAGCAAAGGTTGAAAACAAATGCAATAAACCACTAGAGAAAGTACTAAAACTATGTACAAAAGAGATGAATTCACATACCTGCACATGGGGAGGGGCACTCAGGACGTATGTCACAGAATTTGCAACATCGATGGCTTCCAAAGGCTGTAAGAGAAGTGGAATAACATACTTATAAGGTCCAGATACTGTTTATTCTAGTAATTATACCAACAATACTCTGGATGTAGGCATATTTTTTACCTTAAATTTGGTATATGAAGCAGCAGCTTTATCAGGATTGTCCTTGTAGAGCCGTGGACCAAATTCTGTCTCCACCACACCGGGAGAAATACACTGAAAAAAAAGGATTATCAAAAATTAGTCATGTTCACTTGTCTTCTAATTATAATGATGCTTGGGGAGGATTTTTAGGTTCAGCTTGGTTTTAGACGCACAAAAGCACAAAAGTATATTTTTAAATGCAGACAGACAGTGATTAATGTCTTACTGTGGCTCTGATGTGAGTGTTTGCCTCACGCAGCTCCTGTCTCAGGCCCTCCGTCAGGGCTGTCACAGCGTACTTGGTGGAGCTGTAGAAATGTACGTCAGCGCTGTGAACGATACGATGCCCGCTCATGCTGCAGAAAGAAGATATACGAAAAGTTAGGTCCATAAATTACACTGTGATAATAAAATACACATCACGAGTAAATAAAACTGTACCTGTTTATGTTTATGATATGCCCATCGTCAACATTTCTTTCTTTCATTGACTGATACGCTTCACGTGTGCAGATAGACAATGCAAGAACGTTCACCTGCAAGACACCAAGCAGAAAGGTCAGAAATAGGGAAAGATTGTGGCATTAAAGGTCCACTGGGTAACATTTAGGAGGATCTATTGGTAGAAATTCAATATTAATAACTACGTTTTCATTAGTGTATAATCTCCTGAAAATAGGAATTATTGTGTTTACATTATCTTAGAATGAGCTGTTTTTATCTACAGATGCTACAGGTTGCTTTCCATGGAGTCTGCTATGTTGAACCAGCATGTTTCTACAGTAGCTAAGAAGGGACAAACCAAACACTGACTCTACATAGGGGCATTTGCGTTTTTACTTTTGTGGCCACCATAGTTTCTCCTTCACACTTGGAGGGGAGGGTGAAGCTACTAGATTCTACACACTGGTTCTTCAATACCTGATAATCCAGATCCAGAGGCAACACAATCTCACAGATATTTAAATAAGAATTTTTGAAGAATTTTGAAGATTTTTATATCTTTTTATTATTTTAATACTGAAGCTTTAACTCTGACTTGGAGTAGGAAGGCACAGATGCGACTAATAACAATGGCTCTGTTCAAGTGTCCCAGTAAGTTGTGACTGTGTGTCAGTGAACCAGAGTGCTTAACACCTGAACCTGAAGCAGCTAAATGGAATTCATCCATCAGTATGTACACATGTGTCAAAATATATTCAGTGAAAATTAAAATTAATAACGTCTATAATAATAACGGCTTATATGGCTGCTCTAAGAGATGAGGTTAAACAAGAGCGCCATCCAACTAGAAGCCAAAAATATTGCAGTTTAAACACACATATTTAATTCTATGCATTATATTTCATTTCTAAATTAAAATAATAAGTTCTTACATCCAGCATGTTCTTCCAGCCGCTGGTTTTGCCATTTAACAGTGACTCTGGATGAGCCAAGCCAGCGTTGTTGATGCACACATCCACACCTTTGTGCTGCGCTTTGATGGCGGAGAACATGGACAGAATCTCCTCCTCGTTGGTCAAGTCACACTTGAAAGGCACCAAAACACCACTGTGACCTGCACTCTGACACTCGGCTGCCAGTTTCTGAAATCAAAACAAAAAAAGATGTCAAGCAAATCAGCTTTATAATAACTTACTGGTAAGGAGTGTAAGAAAACTGTGGAGAAAACTAAATGAAATTTTTTAATTAGATAGTATTTATGATTGTTAAATTTTTTGTAAAAATACATGCAGTATTTTTATACTGCTCAAAAATTCATCCGAATTGCTTGTTTTACACAAACCTCCTGCAGTTATTTGGGTTCACTGTACAGTTTATCATCTGTTATTGTTATGCATTGAATATAATATGAAATATCCATCAAGTGCGTGTCAATTAGTCAGTGGTCGTCAGTGAAAAGGGGTCCCTTCAGGATAAAGGTTGGGGACCACTGGTACACTCATTCAATTAATTGTCTCGTCTGTGTGGAATAAAACCGCTCTGCCTCTTTAAAAAGGTAAATTTTTTATTTCATAAAACTGTTTTTATGACGTTAGTGGAGGTGGCCCTCCTCCACTATAAAAACACTGTGTTAACTCATCCATTGACTGATGGATGATGTATTATCTTATCAAAACCACAGTAAGGTTAGAAAAGAGAGGTTTCTGTTAATGGAGATTTATATTTACAGTTAAGGGAAAGAGGAATACTTCATGTTTTTGCCATCCCTTGATTTAGTTTGCACCACTGTGCCTAATCCAAAGAGATCACGAGAATCATCACATTTTTGGTAGCTGCCCACCCTCTCTATCTTACATAACACTGACACAGCAAAAAAATATTTGTATAACCCAGAAACTTTTAATATAGTTTAAGTTTGTGCAGGAGCCATATTTGTGTTTTATTGTGCAGCATACAGAACACTTGAGTAAGCCAATAGCTGGTGTTAATTTACAGTGAGGAAGACTTTAAAAGTGCACTGACATTTACCAACGAGTTCACCTCTGTCTCTACACTTTCACTTTCATACTTCATCAATAGGCCTCATGGCATTAGGGCTTTGTTTGATGCACCTCTCTGCTACTGTCACATTAGTTGGTAATTCTCACCCATTGATAATAAATACATACATACATACATACATACATACATACATATATACATATATATATATATATATATATATATATATATACATATATATATAAGTTCTCACCTAACGTAGACTGCTACTGATTGAATCTCCTCCAAAGTGCAATAAATAAGTTTTAAGTTCAGAGCAAACCTGTATTTTCTCGACGTCCCTGGCACAGCCCACCACCTTCATACCGTACCGGACCAGCTCTTTAGCGATGGTCGCCCCGATCCCGACCGAGGCTCCGGTCACTAGAGCCACTCTGCCCCTCCAGCGGTCCATCACACACCGTTAACCTGCAGCAAACACAACAAGAAAACCTCCTCACAACAGAGAGGAAAGTGGCAGCAGAACCGATCCACTGCTCATACGGAAATGGGCTCCTGAACGCAGCACGACGGATGCGGTTCAATACGTCACCGTGCTGCATTCACTTCAACTACGAACTGTAGGATTTCGTTAAAGCGGGTCAGATGTCCCCAACCTATCATTGTGTAAACTGACGATCTCTGACTAAGTGATATTTTTATATTCATTGCATAACTATAACAGCAAAGAACAACTGATAAACAATGAACTCAAATACTGAACACAGTAACTGCAAAACTATTTGGATGAATTTCGAGCAGATTATTTTCTGTGAATATTGCATCAGAGATGAGTTTTCCTGATATTTGTAGGTACTTTTTTTAATTCAATTCACTGTTTGTATTATGATTTTTTTTTCAATCATGGCTTCATTCTTAATAGGCTTCTGTTTGATGCTTGGCCATTGTTTGTTTTCCAGATCTCATCATGCTCTTACCCTGTGAAATATATGCCTACTGTGTGTATTTTAAAGGTTTTTATATACCCCTTAAAATTAAGAAGGCCTTGCAAACCCCTGTGATGTTTTGGCGACCCCTGATGGGAGTCCTAACCCCCCGATTGGGAACCACTGGGCTAGATCACTCAGTTTTGCTGATTGTTGCAATATGATACTGCCTAACTTTGAGTTGGCCATGTACGGGTGCTCAATTTCTACTGAAACTGAAACTCACTAAAATCATTAAACACACTGTTTTTTGCAAAAAAAATTTTGGGCAAACAACACGTCCATCTGTACAAAAATTGGTTACGTAATTCGGGGCCAGAGTCTGAGGTATCTGTTAATCATGATGTGAAACCCCATTAAATAAGTAATTATAATGAACCCTATTCAAAAAAATAAACATCTAAACTTACATCAGCATAATAAGAAATACCTAAAATGACAGAAACCATCTTTGGGAAAAAAATGTATTTGTTGTGTACATGGATTTTGTTTTGTTTGGCCCATCTGCTAACATGGAGGCAGTGGGCTTCATGACTGCAGTCAGCCACCAGAGGGCGATCGAGGTGTCATAGCTTCACTTCAGAGAAATCATACATCGTTATATATGTCGATGATCAGCACCTTTTAAGTTTATATAATGAACTTGTTAGCAAATAGTTGCTTATTTACACATCCAGATGTTACGAAGCAACATTATAATTCATTTAAAGTCTTGTTTCTGGCCACTGGAGTCCAATATTCAATCTCCTTTAGTTCTGTTCTCTGTCAACTCCTGAGGGAAATCTCTGGCTCTTTAGTTGCTAAATGCTCCACCAATGACAACTTCAACAGCAAAGTTTTGTTTATTAGTCAACAATGACCTGAACTATAAAGCTCACTATAAATTCTCTGCAGGTGAATCACTACGAGTGACCCCTTTCACATTTTCAGTCCTTTGATACATTTTAAAACATTATGGAAATATTGATTATAGCCACTTTAAACCTCATACAGTAACATAATTAATGGGGGATTATTCTTATAGAGTACTTTGTGTTTGTTTATATTGATCATCTTGAGCAGAAAAAAAGTCCTTCTAAAACTTTATCTTATCTTATCATACAGTAGGCTACATTCATAAAACACCTATGTTGCATAATGTAAACAGATAGCAAATTTGTTCATATACACATACAAGTGTTGTGTTGTGTCTGTCTAGTCCACTGGTTGCCTTTTTGTTCCAACACGTGATAAGAACATTTATTATGACATAATGCCTGTCCGTGTTTGGCTCTCATCAACTCAGCTTGCTTGTAATCATACATGATGTTTCAAACCAAATAAACTTAATGTTGAAACTATTAACTGTACCTGTATAACACTTACTGACTATATTGTCTTTACATGGTCATAATTGTTAGCCAAAAAGATGAACTTCAATTATTAATTTGAGCAGGATGCAGTTGTGTAAGTGCTAATGGTAGGAGAGTATAAATAATAATATCAGTAATATGACATAGCAATACTAGAAATAAACATTGCCTACAAATATTACTCATGAAAGCAGAGTCAATTACAAATTTCCAACAGTTGTAGTAATCATAGATAAGTTAGTCATTTACTGATAACTCTGCCTCATAGCAGCATAATCTAAACTACATCATTGAAATGTATTGTTTTCAGGCCAAACCCTGTGAATAAGGGTCAATTCATTAACCTGTGAAGTGTCAGTCTTCAGATATCTTCTGTTTGTCATAGTCACTGGGATCAGGAGTCATAAAACCAAAGCGGTCAGTGTGGGCGGGTTTGATAGGTGGGCCTACCTGTCTTATAACAGTCTGGTTGAACTCTGTTTCTGACATCATCTTCCAAAACCTTCAATGCATGCAGACTTGGACAGATACATTTACAATGCTGCTTGCACCAGTTTTATTTTTCTTTGCATCTTCCATAAAGATTGTCTCAGGGGCAGGTTCGTTCTCTAAAAAAATACAAATGTAAAAATGAATAAGATTTCTATAATGTTCTGCATGTTTTATTTGTGAATATGCTGCATTCATGGTATCAAATGAAACTGAACTAATAATTGTTTGGGGCTTGTATTTGTTCCTGCTGTTTCGACTTATATGAAATCTGTTCTTGCAGATTGGTGCTACCAGTCTGAATTTACATGCAGTAACGCCTGCCCAGGTAAACCTCAATATAAGCCACTGATATTGACAATTTGAATAAGAGAAGAAAATATGTAAAAGTGGAGATATTTTTCTTTTCATCCACAGGGCCAGACGCATGGGGAAGAGTTTCACAGCACTGCCGCGGCAGATCTCAGTCTCCGGTGAACGTTGTTACAAAGAGAGTGCTACCAGATGGACGACTCACTCCTCTTCAGTTCATTGGCTATCAAGACACTTTTCATGGTCGCCTCATAAACACTGGTCACAATGGTATGTTGGGCGATAATTGCAGTTTTATTTCCTTTGGTTAAAAAGAAAAGTCAGTGTGCCTCTGTGTGACGGAATTACCTTGTCTTAAGTAACCTGGCTGTAAAACAGTTGTAAGGTAATTACCTCTGTTGTAAACCAATGAGATAATGTATTAGACGTGGCAGAATGAATAATAATAGCAAAAAAAAAGAAGAAAAAAAAGAAAACCGTAGATATGTGAGCCTGAAGAAGATAGATTTAAAAGATATAAAAAATCTTTCTTGGACTTCTTAATTTCTTACTTCTTCTTTTTTTAAGCCTAAACTTTGAAATGATGACTTTTTCTAGTTCAATTGGATTTGCCCCAAAGTATAAGGATCAACGGAGGAAATCTGGCTGCACCATACAGGGCACTTCAACTTCACCTGCACTGGGGTAAAGATGGAGGTCCGGGATCTGAACACATGATTGACGGAGAACAATTTCCAATGGAGGTATGAATCATGGGGATATATTTTGTGTAGGCAACTATATCAAAATAAATGAAATACTGAATTCTTTTATGCCGTTTACAGATGCATATTGTCCACATAAAAGACGAATACAACTCTTTATCCCAGGCTGTAAGAGACCGCACAGGTGTGGCTGTTCTTGGATTTTTCTTTCAGGTGATTTTATTTGTCATTTTATTTGTTTATCTTGCAAAAAATTGAAGTTTGGTGTAAGTAAGGTGTCCAAAATTAAAAATCCATTATTGGGAATTTAAAGGTACGCGCACAAGAATATGTCATTTGATCCCAAAGTACACAACAAAATAGTGACTTTTCGGTTTGCTTTTATTCAACTGGCACCAGACCTCTTTTACATTTTATGGGCTTGTCATTAAATTAAATGGCCCAAGAATCACGCCTTGAGGTACACCAAAAAATAATTAGACAAAAGAAAGTTTGTAAAACAAAGCATTCATAAGAATTTGCAGTCATCAGTTGATAAATAACTCTACAAAGGGCAGTTTTAAAGATCGCACGATTAAGAAAAACTGAATTAATGTTTAGGAAAAGACATTCTTGTTCCTTTATTATCAAAAGTAACAAAGAAATAAACCTACAACAAGGTTAGTGTGCATGAAAGGTGCAAACATTTTAGGAAAGCATTGTAGATCCTTCAATAAACAATATAAAAATGTGATGATAAGCCCTGAAAGATGCAGCTCTTTGTACCTCAATATTTATTGTACATTGTCCCAACTTTTACAAAAACGTGATTAACTTGAACATTTTATTCTTTAATTTCAGGTGTCCGAGTCTGCAAATAAGAAGTTTGACCCCCTGATAAATGCTCTGAAATATATCACACAACCCAGTACGTCTTATCTGCTGTCATGGAAAAATAAGATAATTGTGCTTCATTATCTTCCAGCCACATTGAATATAGTGTCTTAAATCTGCTGCTGATTGTTCCAGTGCTAGACTAAAGTGCAATTGAGATAACACACTGTCCTAAAACCTTTTTTTTTACAAACCAACAATAAATGAGTTAACAGTGTTGTCACCTTGAACCACTTTATTGTTTAATCATTTTATGCTTACTTGTTAATCCTTTGTAAAACCAGCCAACAGTACAACCCTGAGAGGTGTATCCCTGGAAATGTTCATTCCTCCTCAGAAGAATTTGGCCAAGTACTTTCGCTATGATGGCTCCCTCACTACACCTAACTGTGCAGAAGCTGTCGTCTGGAGCCTGTTTGAAAACACCATCCCTCTCGGCAGGAAACAGGTAATTATCCTTACAAAATTGCATCATCTACCTAGAGGAGGAAAGTTTACGTTTACTGAAGCGCTGCACATAAGTGGCTGTGGTACTGGACGTGGTTCTTTTATTCCAACACATAGTACTTTAGAGAGTGGATTCAGATTTTACATTAAATATGAGACAAACTCACCACATCCACATGGTTTCATTATCATTATTGAGTGCTTTTCCCCCCCTTTTTCCAGCTTGCTGCATTCTCCCAGCTTCAGTTTCTGAATGGAAAGGACATGGTTAATACCTACAGACCAGTGCAGACCTTGAATGGACGGCAGGTGTATTACTCCGGGAGCCATGTTGCTGTGGTTAGCTCTGTGCTACTCATCATATCAGTGCTGGTATCCAGTGCACTCTCCGTGTACACTACAGAATAAAAACTCTGTCTAATTTTACACGACTGTGATGATTGTCAAATACACAAGATGTAACTGTAATGTATATCTAAATGTAAATTATGTAAGTGTGAATCTACTGTATGCACTGTGTGTGATTTTACAAGGACAACCTCATCCTTCAAAACACAAGTCATAAGGATTTTCTCTCTTTGTTTTGTATCAAATATGAATTGTATATTTAAAGGACCAGTGTGTAGGATTTGTGTAGGATAGGCAACCCCCTCGCCCCACCCTCTCATTCCAAGTGTGTAGGACAAAACTACAGTGGCTGTGTGGCCCTATCTAGAGCCAGTGTTTGGTTTGTCCAACATGAAGGGCTCCACTTCCTCTGTAGAGATAAAAGACTCGTTCTAAGGTAACAAAAACACGATTCTGCTTTTCAGGTGATTATAATGAAAACATACCTATTATGTTCTATTTCTGCCAATAGATCCTCCTATTGTTGTATATTTATCATCTCAACATCTCATAACTGATGTATTTTTTTGATTTCTGAAATAAAAACCGTTTTAACGATGACTGATCAATCAGTTGTTTTTAATTTCTTGATTGTAAAATTTAACTTTTGATTGTAAAATGAATGGTGACCGAGAACAGTTCACAGACTAGGGGACTACTAATTGATATAGTTAAACTGTCTCTTGTGATATGTTATCACAGTTATTTCACTTTTGATAATGAAGTGTTTCCTTCCTCTCTTGCAGACATTTGAACTCTCTTTTGTTCTAGTTCAGCTCGTGCCAGCTAATCATAGGGCAAAGTGCACTGTACACTGTTTCCTCTCACCTATTTGTACATCATGCAAATAATGTATTACATGTAATGTAAATAAAAGTATACACCTGATTCCTGCTGGTTAAAACATGTTCGGGGTTTTCTTTGCCTTTTTAGGTGTTTGTTACAGAAATACTATGACCTAAAGTCGTATATACTGCTATTTTATTTCCAGTTGCATATACTTTGCACTGGTATTACTGAAATTTATATAACTTTGGGAACTTATATTATTCAACATAAATAAAAAAATTGAGGTGTTAGGTGTTAAGTTATCAGCATTTGAGGAAAAAAATTAATTGGGCAAACAAATGAAATGAAGTTTCTAAAAACTTAATTTAATTTCACATTGTCAGCTAATTCACATATACTTACATGCATGCTGGACTAGCAATCACTTTGTGAAAGCAAATGGGGATCCAAATAAAGTAAAATTGAATTATATGTATCTGTAAAACTCTCAGTTTTATTTTGAAAATCTTCTCTAGTCCAGGCTAGAGCTGCAAGAGTCACTTCCACCAAGATCCACTATGTGGCAGCACCGAACAAATCTGAAGTCCTGATTCTGCTTGCATTCAATTCGGGCTTGCAGTTGGTGGTCAGTGGTGGAAAGTAACTAAGTACATTTACTCTAGTATTGTACTTAAGTACAATTTTGAGGTACTTTTACTTTACTTGAATAGTTCCATTGTATACGTATACTCCACATCTGAGGGCAATATTGTACGTTTTGCTACATTTATGTGACAGCTACAGTCACAGTAACAAACAAAACACATGATCAGTTTCTAAAATATGATATGTGCTATAGATAAAATAAAGCTGCAACATTTACATACTACTTACATGTTAAAGCATCCGTAATATTCAAATTATATGTTGTATATAATTATATACAGTAACTTTCTGAAAGAGACCATTCTGCCCAACAAGTACTTTTTGCTGTTAATACATCAGCAGTTTTTTAGTGAAATCTTTAATGTTGGACAAAGTATTTTGGTACCTTAAAAGATGTGAGTACATCACTGCATATAGTCTTTAAAAAAAAGTGCATGCACATCGTGTAACTTTTTATTTCTATCTTTAGGAGCCCTGCAGAAGTTTTATCTCCCGTTTGGTGACTCGCTATCGAACCCACAGCCATGATGTAATGAGAAAGTTCGACTTTTGACTGGCCAGAAACAGGAATTGTGGCTTTTTGTGGTATGTGCGTATGTGTGTGCACATATATTTCTTTCCAGTTGCCGCCAAAGGTTGTAACTGTTCAAACATGATTCAATTTAACAGTCTTAAGGGCATTTTCTGATTGAATAAACAATTGCAATACTCAGTGGCAATCACTTAGATATAATATCTACATTCACAGCTGCCATTACACAACAGAAGATCTCTGTCTGAGATCAGTCATCATAGGTAAAACATAATTTAATCAGTCCTAAGCAGTTCCCCTAGGAGGATAATACCTACTGTGTCATTAGATGCTGCGCTTGTTTTTGGCACCTTGACGCTATCTATATCACCTTAAGTACTGGAGGAGATCACTTTGGATATAATCCCATGTTGCACAGGAATAGATGTCTGATGCAAGCACATCCTGTAGCGCAACAGTGCTGAGATAATCTGCAGGATGCACAGTCATGCTGGCCTGCTGCAGAGGGTCACTCCTTGTGTTCTTGAACAAGACACACGTGAACTCATTATCCCCCCAAAATGCAACCGTTATTTGTGTGTGCGTGCATGTGTTAATACTGTTAGTTTCGGATTCCCTGCAGCAAATTAAGCTCTTGTCAATTCTTGCATTCACAACCTTTTGTAGCAATCTGCTACATTACTGTCTGCTTGTCTTTTCTTCTTTCTTTTTTTCTCACAAGGACATCTTTTCTCGGTTTGTGTGCACCGCCCATCCCCCACTTCCTCTTATTTCACTTGGTGTGACTCTGAGGTTTAGGTTGTCGTGACAACGGAGGACACAGGCCCGTCTCTATTCTATTTGCGAAGTTTCTGTTGTTGCAAGCATATTGCACACTTGCTGCTAGGATAGGGAAGAGCCTTGCACCACCATCCCCCACCCACACCTTGTCAGAAACATGCAGGCGTGAATGAGTTCTCAGAAATATAAAACAGATATCAATCGCTTCCTGTAATACATACAGTAGATTTTGGACTTGCATGCCAGTAAAATATAAAATATGTGAGGAGAGTGCTAAGGGGCACCATATTCCCTTTGAAAACGTTAAACCGCTTCAACGTCTCTAAAATGAGCTCACTTAATCTATATATCTGCTAATAATTTTCGATTTCCTTTGATCTTTTATCATTATGTTGCTGTTTCAAAGTAAAAGCCTCAATGCTGCATTGTTAAGGAGTATTTTGTCCAAAGATAATTGGTACATATCCACTTAAATTATTACTGGGATCAATATCTATCTGCTTACATGTCTTTTGACTTCTTTTTTAAAAGCAATGTGTTGTCTCTTAACTGTATGTCCTTAAAAGGGATGAGCTCATGCTTGGCAACAGCTTGAATTTGCATGTATATGTGTGTGTGTGTGTGTGTGTGTGTGTGTGTGTGTGTGTGTGTGTGTGTGTGTGTAAAGTAACTAAGTACACTTCCTAAAAAAGTTAAATTCTAAGAGACTGTTACTTTTCTCGAATTTCTAGATTGTGAAACTTTTTTCCACAGTAGTACATTTATCTGAAGGGCTCCTTTACAGAGTAATATTGTACATCAAATATATATATATATAATACACTGAAATATAAAGTATTGTTAGAATCATTACCCGAAAGTATATGAAGTATCCACCTGGAGCATCTACAGATTCATACATACAATTTTAATTATTATTATTATTATTATTATTATTATTATTTTTCAATTAAGCATTAATCATTATTTCTCAAAAAACATAAAAACATGTAATATATTTTACAATGAAATGACTCAAATTAAAGGGTAATGTTCACAAACTTGAGTAGATGTTTCAAATACTATTTCCCACCACTGTGTGTGTGTGTGCATGCATGAATGTACACATCTGCATACACTTCCATGCGTGTGTGTGTGTGTGTGTGTGTGTGTATGTGTGTATGTGTGGGTGTGTGTGTGTGTGTGTGACTGTTAGAGCTTTTCCTGTGTGAACCACGTGGCTCATACGGGGGTTAATATAAAGATCACGTTCACTTCTGGGTTTTCTTTCTTCTTCGGAGTCCAAACTGGTAAGACCCTGACAGCAAGTTACTTTTGGTCGCTGCTTGTATTTGATTTACATGTCCAATATAAATGCACTAAAATATACAGTTGTTACAGTTTTATGTGTCATTAAATGTACATGTACAATGTCAGCATTATTTTAAGCAACATTACTGTCAAATATTGTGGATGCAACTGCTAACAAACTGTTTTCATGTTTCCCAGTTATAAAATGATGTTAGAGAACGTTCTTGTGTCACATTTTATCTGTGAAAACTTGCTTTTACTCAACCCGTCATGTCTTCAGTGTTTGCGGCGGAGCGACCAGAAACTACTGATGTACAGTGTTGTCACCCATAAAGTAGAAAGCACTACTAAACTTCATTACACAGTGTAGTGTTTCCTACTTTATGGATGAGTATACTGTTGGCTGCAGAGAAATGTAAAGAAGAAACCAACGGACTCTGTGAGAAGGATTTTAAAACCAGTTGAATTTCTATGTTGCTTTTGTCATTTAATTGTATTAATTTATTACAAATTGATAAATTGATATTGTAATGTAAATGTTTTATCAGAATAGAAAATGATTTTTCTACTACTATAATAAAATTGTAGACAGTACAAACAAGTAGTTGAGATATCTGGTTAAAAGAAAGCAGGTAAGCATTGTACAAATTCAAGATTATTTATTTATTTTCAGTTTCTGCTTTATAGTTATTACATTGATAACATGATTACAGTCTTTTCTTTTATACAAAGTTTCTGTTGAGATTTTTTTTTTACATAAAAACTGCTGCAAAACTCAAAAACTATGAGCCAAATATAGAAAATACATAAACAGGATATAAGGCAAATATGAACATTCTATATTAATACACTGTGGTCTGCAAAAAACTGAGACTAAATGTGTATTATTAAGGCTAAAATAATGTATCCATTGCCATCCGATATATTTGAAATAATTACAGTTTGTTCATATTATAATACACATATATGAAATTTCATTTTGTAAATTCATTTTTGTGAAAGTGCATAAAGTAGAAGCACCGTGAAAGTGAGTTCATTTTTTTAATGTGGTTTTTGAGTTTTTAAACATGTATGATTTGTCATTTTTGTCAAAAATGTTCAATAAATGAATTATCTGACAATATAATAAGGACTATTTTTATCCTGATTTACACTGGTAATACTGGCTTAATTAGTTGCTTATCTGCACAAACCCTCATTGGCTTGCAATCTAAAGCAGGTGCAGTGCCATACTATAATAAAAAAAATATAATAATAATAAATAAAAAATATATTTTTTGACACATAAAATGTCAATTTAACTATTTTTTCAAATAAAAACTGCTTATTTCTCACTGTGTCTGAGACTTGGCATCTGTAGCAAACATCCTAGCGTGGTGTTTTCTTCTAATCCCAGGGCAACGGCTGAAGGTAGTTTGATGGAACCAAACCTCGCCGTCCGTGCAGATCCCCCTAAAAAAGATAGACATATACAAAAAAGAGATGACGGTTAAACTTGTGTGCAAAATTCAATGCAAAAATTAAG